GACAGTTTTATAAAAAACAAATTTTGTCTCACTTAAGACAATTTCTCTTAAAACAAATTTCGTCTCGCTTGAGACATTTTTCCTTTGAGATACCAATTTTGAATTTGCTTCACATGAAACAAAATTAATCTAACTTGAGATTGTTGTTTATTTCAAAACAAATTTCGTCTCACTTGAGACATTTTCCCTCAGATTACAAATTTCAAAGTTGTTGTACTTGAAACAAAATTAATATCACTTGAGATTTTCAAAGCTGATTCGTCTCGCGTGAGACAGTTTCCCCTTTAAACACAAATCCTGAAATTGTTTCATTTGAAACAAAACAAACACCTTTGAGATTATTTACATATAAACAAAATCGACAATCTTTGAATCTTTTTCTCTTAAAACGATTTTTGTCTCTCTTGAGACAATTTCTCTTGAAACAAATCTTTGAGTCTGTTCCTTTTGAATAAAAATCTTTGAGTTATTTATTTTGAGAAAAAAATCTTTAAGTCTGTTTCTTTTGAAAGAAAGTTTTGTCTCTCTTAAGACAATTTCGTGAAAAAAATCCTTGAGTTGTTTCTTTTGAAACAAAAACCTTTGGGTCTGTTTCTTTGGAAACAAAATTTTGTCTCTCTTGATACAATTTCTTTTGAAAAAAATCTTTGAGTTTGTTTCTCTTAAAACATATTTTGTCTATCTTGAGACAGTTTCTCTTGAAACAAATCTTTGAGTCTGTTCATTTTGAAAAAAATCTTTGAGTTTGTTTCTACTAACAAAATCATCTTTGTGTATATTTCTTTAAAAACAAATTTTGTCTATTTTGAGACATTTTCTAATAAAAAAACCAACCTTTGAGATTGTTTCCTTTGAAACAAATTTCGTCTCACTTAAGACGTAACCCATCTTTGAGTCCGTTTCTGTGGAAAAAAATTTTGTCTCTCTTGAGACAGTTTCTTTTGAGAAAAATCTTTGAGTCTGTTTCTTTGGGAAAAAATTTACCATCTTTGAGTCTGTTTCCCTTTAAACAAAACAAACATCTTTAAGATTGTTTCCCTTGAAACGAATTTTGTCTCAATTGAGACAGTTTCCCATGAAACACCGATCTTTGAGAACATTTCCCTTAAAAAAAAATGTCTCGCTTGAGACAGTTTCCTTTAAACGTCATCTTTGAGTCGTTTCCCATGAAATGAATTTTGTCTCTTTCGAGACAGTTGCTTTTGAAATACATCATCTTTGAGTTTGTTCTTCTTGAAACAAATATTTGGGTTTGTTTCTTTTGAAACAAATCTTTGAGTCGGTTTCCCTTTAAACCATTATCCCTAAAGATGGCCAGACGTCCTCATCACGTATGAGTTATGTCATCCCTTGACCTGATTTCCTCATCACGTAGGAACCGTGTTATTACCTATAGATGACCTGTCGTCCTCATCACGTAGGAACCGTGTCATCACCTGACCAGAACTCTTCATCACGTAGGAGCCGTGTCAACCATAGATAACCAGCCGTCCTCATCACGTAGGAACCATGTTATCACCTTTAGATGACCAGAATTCTTCATCACGTATGAGCCGTGTCATCACCGACCTGATCTCCTCATCACGTAGGAGCCGTGTCAACCATAGATAACCAACCGTCCTCATCACATAGGAACCATGTTATCACCCTTAGATGGCCAAAATTCTTCATCGCGTAGGAACCGTGTCATCAACTGACCTGATCTTCTTATCGCGTAGGAGGCGCGTCAACCATAGATAACCAGCCGTCCTCATCACGAAGGAGCCGTGTTATCACCTTCCTAAAGATGGCCAAGAACTCTTCATCACGTATGAGTCGTGTCATCCCCGACCAAATCTCCTTATCACGTAGGAACCGAGTCACCCTTAGACGACCCGAACTCTTCATCACGTATGAGCAGTGTCGTCCCCAGCAACCAACATTATCCAATTTCTAAGGGAGAGAACCAGACAAAAACGTGTTGTCTTGTCGTCTTTTCCCTATTTCTTGTTAACACAAGAATGTGCAAAGAGGGGCAGCTGTAGACACCCGTTTTTGTCTGGGTTTTTTCTATTTTAATTCATTATTATTATTATCGTTTTTTATTATTTATATTTATTATTATTATTATTACTTTCAAAAGAAAATCAAAAGAAATCCAAAAACCCCAATAAAGAAATCCAAAGACAGATGATATTTGGTCAGTCAAGTGGAGATAGGAATGATATCCTATCTCCTCGGCAACACCATCCAACAGACATGCATCAAGATAAAAACGAAAAGAACAGAGAAAAAGGAAACATTTTCGGGGCAGTGACAGTTTCAGAGAGAGAAAAATATAGAAGAAAATACAGAGAGTGAGGGAAAGAGCTTACCGAATACCACGCTCATCAGAGGGAAGCCAAAGGGTCGTCGTTTCCTCGATTCTTCGAAAGTTATCATCCTAGATCTAGGATTTTCTGTGTGGTTTTTGGAAAAGGGGTTTATAGATCAGAGTTTAAGGGGTTTTGAGGTTTCGTTTGGGGTCAGTTTCACTTCTCCGGTGACCGAGCGTCGCCGTGCGCCGCCGTTGGCCCCGCCGTGGGAGCCTCCGGCCACCGTGACCTTTCTCTCTTCAGTGGAGAGAGTTGAGAGAGTTCTGAACTCTCTCTCTCTCTATTATTCTCTCGTTTAAACAAATAAGCAAATGAGGGGAGAAGGCTAAACAAAGCCCATTTTGGGCTTATATAGTTCGCCCTAAACGACGCCGTTTAAAGGGGTAAGAGGCTGCGTGTTGTGTAAAAAGGGTCTAACTACATGTTAGGTCCCCTTTACTTTGTAATCACATATTTCAGTCATATATGAAGTTTTATATTATTTGATTTCGAGCCTTTATATTTCATTACTTATGTTTTAGTCTGGTTATTACTTGTTATGCTATTCTGATTATTTATTTGACTTTGGTAGCAATATTTGTTATTATTTAATTTTGGTCACTAAGTTAGTATGTTGTGTATTCTTTGTTGTTATTCGAATTTGGCCACCATATTTGTAAATATTTTATTTTAGCCACTAATTCCAGGTTGTTGGGTATTTTTGTTAATATTCCAATTTGGCTATGATATTTGTAAATGTTACATTTTAGTCACTTGTTTACATTTGGTTTAATTACTGTTAGGCTCTTGTATGTTTCTATTTATTTCATTTTAGTCCTTACTGTTATTGTTGGGCTATTTTTATTTTTAATGCTTGTATTATTTAATATTTGTAATCTGGACTTTGTTTTATTTGCAATTACTTTTTAGTCCTTTAACTTTCTGTTTTAGTTTTTTTTAGTTCTTTAAGTTTTTGTTTTTTATTTTGGTCCTGTAACTTTTTGTATTTATTATTCATTCCTTTAAATTTCTGTTAATCATGTTTTAGTCCCTTAATTGCTTATTTTTGGTATTTTATTTTGGGTTTGTAATGTTTATTTATTTTTATTTATGTATGAATGTATTTTACATATTACATGGTTATTTGTATTATGTAAATAATGTGTTTAATCCCACTTATGTAAATATTTGTATTTCCAATTACATTTATTCTCATTATATTCTTATGTATGTACGAAATATTTGATTTTATTTTCAAGAACACGTATGCATAGAATGAGCGTGGAAAGTACCACTTGGACGAAGTGGTGCGATCCGGTACGACATTTTAACGATATAGGAACTTGAAATAAGTCGAGTATATTTTACTAATTAATTTGTTCAAATGATGCAATGCGTGTTATTTTAAGTGACAATTTACTTTATTTTATGTTAATGTAAATTTCAATTTTGTTAATTTATATTCGATTCATTTTTAGTTAATCAATTTATGTAAATGTCGTTTTTCATTTATATTCGATTTGCGTTTTTAATATAAATGAGGAGGGAATATTCTTTAATTGATAAGAAATATTCGAGTTAGTTTTCCCGACGAAGGATTGCTAATATCGAGATTTCTTTTCAAGTTAAAGAATTTTCCCTAATAATTATTTGAAGCAAATTAATATTCAATAAATGGATCATAATTTAATTTTATATTCGATTCATACTTTCCACCATCACGACGATATGTAAGCGACACAGTACCAGTTTTGGGCGCTGTGGGGTGCTAATCCTTCCCCACGCGTAACCGACTTCCGAACCCGTTTTAAACGAATCTTTGGTAAACGCAGACCAAATTTTGTCTTAAAAAATGTTTTTTTCTTTAAATTATTTTTAAAAGACGTTTTTAGGTATTCGACCTACCTAACCCAAAGGTCGATGGCGACTCTATTCAATTTATTCCAAATTAATTCCAAATCACCCTAATTTTTCCCAAATTAAAGTCATAATCATTTTTTAAAATAATATTTTAATTGTTTTACCTAAAAATGGTTATGACATATATATATATATATATATATATATATATATATATATATATATATTTAGCTTCGGTCTCTATATGTATTCAGAGTTGCTAGCAAAGGTTACTACAATGCAATTGCAACAATGACAATTCTTACAATTTCCTTATTCTCATTTCTTCTTCTCATTGCATCCATCTGTCTTAGCTTCTGCAATGGCGATTCCAATGTGCTTTGCATTGAAAGTGAGAGAGATGCTCTTTTGAAGTTCAAGAACGATCTGATCGATCCCTCAAACAGCCTGTCTTCCTGGGTTGAAGGTGGGGATTGCTGTGATTGGAATGGTGTTGTTTGCCATAACTCAACAGCCCACGTCACCCAACTGCTTTTAGCTCCTCCTGATGGACGGCAAGGTTACGGTCGTTCAGCTCTAGGAGGCAAAATAAATCCTTCTCTGCTAGAGTTGCAGCATCTCAATTGGCTGGACTTGAGCAATAACAATTTTAGCACCATACAAATCCCAAAGTTTTTGGGTTTGTTGGGGAGCTTAACATATCTTAATCTCTCTCAAACACGATTCCAGGGTGCAATTCCTCGTAACCTTGGGAATTTCTCAGAGTAGCAGTATCTTGACCTCGGACGTAACTATTTCTCTAAAGTGAAAAGTCTTCAATGGATTTCTGGACTTTCTTCTTAGCAGTACCTTGATTTGAGTGGTGTGCATCTTCGTAAAGCAACTGATTGGCTACAGGTAACATTATCCAATCTTCCTTCTTTGTTAGAGTTGCACTTGTCTGACTGCATGTTACAAGATGATACATCTCCGATCAGCACTGTTAATTCTACAAATTCACTAGCCGTTCTTGATCTTTCTTGGAATGAATTATCTTCAGTTCTTATGTCGATATTTGGTCTTCATGGTCTCGTGTCCATTGATCTCAGCTACAATTCTTTGGAAGGCCCAATTCCAGATTACTTTGGGAACATGTCATTTCTTGAAGTTGTTGATTCTAGTTTCAACTCACTCAATTCATCCATACCCAACTCCTTGTATAGTTTAAACCATCTTCAATCCCTTACTCTTTCTTTTAACGATTTACAAGGTGAAATTTCGAGTGCCATTGGAAACTTGAGCTCTCTCATTCACCTTGATCTTTCATTTAATGAGCTACAAGGGAAAGTACCAGACTCTCTGGGAGATCTTTGCAAATTGAAGGAGATGGATTTGTCATCTAATGGAATTGATCAAGACATATCACAAATCCTACTGATTTTGTCTACATGTTGTTTGGATAGCTTAGAGTCATTGAGGATGTCATATAACCAACTTTCTGGCCATTTAACAGATCAACTTGGGCAATTTAAAAATTTAGCTTACATGGACCTTGCTCGAAACAACATTTCTGGTCCCATTCCATGGTCGATAGGGGAGTTATCGTTTTTGAAGGCCTTTGATGTTTCAGAAAATCAATTAAATGGTACTTTTCCTCCAAACTTTGGGCAATTGAAAAAATTAAAAGCTCTATATATTGGGAAAAATCAATTGGAAGGAGTTGTATCAGAAACTCACTTTTCTAATCTCACGAGGTTGAAGACTTTGGTGGCATCCGAAAACATGATAAGATTTGAACCAAACTCAAGTTGGATTCCTCCGTTTCAATGTGGAATTACCGAATTGAGTCAATGGCATCTTGGCTCGAAGTTTCCCCAATGGTTGAAGTTCCAAAATAAGTTGTATGCTTTAGACATCTCGCATGCAGGAATTTCAGATGTCGTACCCACTTGGTTTTTGAACCTTTCCACTCAATTTGAATACGTGAATCTTTATTCTAATCAACTAACTGGAAGGATTACATATTTGAATGCAGGAAACATTGTCGACCTAAGCTCAAATCGATTCTTTGGTCCACTGCCAAGACTGTTGTCAAACAGATTCTCTGGTCCATTAGAATATTTAAGTTTGTCAAGGAAATTGTTTTCAGGATCTCTTTATGAATTTGTTTGCAATTCATCGATGACATCAATGAAAGTTCTTCTCATTGATACAAATTTTCTCTCTGGAGGAATTCCAGATTGCTGGAACCTTGGGCAGGGATTGAAGTTCTTAAATTTGGGAAACAACAATTTGACAGGAAAAATCCCATCTTCTTTGGGAGATAAAAGTCTTGAAATGCTAAACCTTCGGAACAATAGCATGCTTGGAGAATTACCCTCCACATTACAAAATTGTACTAATTTGGTTGTTCTTGATCTCAGTAAAAATCATTTCAGTGGAAGAATACCAGCATGGATTGGTGACAAGCTCTCTAAGCTTGTGGTACTAAGCCTCCGGTCAAATAACTTTGATGGTCATATTCCTCATACAATTTGCAGTCTTCAATCTCTTCAGAACTTGGACCTTGGACAAAACAATATTTCAGGAGCTATTCCAAAATGTTTTAGACATTTAACTGCAATGGCCACCGAAGAAAACCAACATATCTACTATTCTGAGTGGTTGTACAATGATGCTAATGCAGAAACGAGCATTTCTTTAATGGGTGCGTCATTGGTGCTGAAAGGACGAGAGGACTTGTATAGTACCACACTGGGACTTGTTACCAGCATAGACCTTTCAGCTAATAGTTTTACAGGAGAGATCCCAAAAGAAGTTGGAACTCTCATTGGGCTATTGTCATTAAATCTTTCAAGGAATCTCCTAACAGGAAATATACCGGACAACATTGGCGACTTGAAGTTGATGGAATCACTTGATTTGTCGATGAATCATTTGCATGGTGGAATCCCTTCAAGTTTCTCCAATTTGAACTTCTTGAATCACTTCAACGTGTCCCACAACAACCTGACAGGACAAATCCCAACAGCCACTCAGCTTCAAGCTTTGATAACTCTTCCTTCTTGGGCAATCATCTCTGCGGGCCTCCTCTCAGTAAAAGCTGCAGCGCTAAAGGTGTTCCGACTGATGCTACAAAGAATGGAGAGAGCAGTGAAAGAAGTAAAGTGAATGGGTTTTATGTGAGTATGGTTGTTGGGTTTGTAATGGGGTTTTGGGGAGTGGTGGCTCCCCTGTTTTTCATAAGGTCTTGTAGGCATGCATATCATGGAAAGCTGGAGCATATTGGTAACAAGCTGTATGTGTTTTGGGCTACTTAGTGTATGTAGTTCCATGGGAAAACAATAACATGTATGTTTCTGTGTGTTTGTACTTGATTATGCAGGATTCATATACATATGAATGAAAGCAGTAGCTAAACGAACACCCATTTTCTCAAAACTCCTTGTAGCATAAGCATGCAGCGCTTTTCGCATTTCATTATCCACAAGGTCTGCAAATAAAGTTACCATGCTAATCATGGCAACTTCAGTGGGTCTTATTTGTAAATTTCGCATCTTTCTTACATTCTCCAATGATTCCCTGTGCATTTTGCTTCTAACATAGCATCTAATCATTGTACTCCAAGAAACATCATCTCTTTCACGCATATCATCGAACAACAACCTGGCAGAGACCACACTGTCACATTCACTGCACATTTGTATCAAAGCATTACTTACAAAAACATCTTCAGTAAATCCACGCTTCACAGAAAAACCATGTATTTTTTCCCCATTGGGACATTGAAACAAAACTGCAAGCTTTGAGGACAGCAGGGACCATGAAGTTATCAACTTCATAGTCCATTCTTGTCAAATAAGCATAGATGTCAAGTGCACTGTAGGGTTGAGTGTTTTTAGTGTAAGATGTGATGAGGAGATTGAATTGTGCCGAAGGGCTAAGGCTGGCATCATTGAAGTGGGTTTTGACCATGAGAGCATGGATTTGCCTGGTTTGTTCAAGGGTGGGTTGAAGAATTGTTGAAGCCAGGAGAGAAGGAGAATAAAGTGGTGATTTCTGAATTACAGCTACTTTCATCATGTCCATGTTGTTTCTCATCTTCACAAATAAAACATCTTCACGTAAAACCCCAATTTCTTCAATCTTTACAAGACTCTCCAATCCCAAAATACAACCAAAATATAGAACACTTTTAATACATATATCCAAGTTATTTTCTATTTTAAATGATGATGAATTCATCACAATATAGAGTTTAATATTTTTCTAATTCAAAAAGTTTTAATAAATAATTTTAATTTTAGATTACCAAACATACTTAAAATATTAAACATTAAAATTATTAATTTTAAATAAATTATTTTTTTGAGTGGTTCAAAATTACGAAAATAAATATTCAATAAAATTTATTTTTTATGTAATTTTATTTTCTTCTCTTAATTGGATGGCCATGTCTGGGTGAAAATGAAAAGAGTGTTCGGTGAACTGTTTGTGAACCGTTCGTTTATATTCATTTGTTAAGCTAAATGAACGAGTATAACCAAAATTATTATGTTCATTTAATAAATGAACAAACATTAATATAGGTGTGTCCAGTTCACTTATGTTCACAAATAAGCTCGTTTATTGACTCGTTTGTTTATGTTCACAATCAAGCTTGTTTAGAAGCTTGTTTACTTTCATTTTTTACATTTTGAGTATTTGTGAATGTAGGGACTAAATTGAATATATGGTGAAATTTTGGAGTTTAAACAATGAAGCTCAATGAGTTTAAGCACTAATGACAAACTTTTACCATTTTTAGGTTGCGAATGAACATGTTAATTAACTCTACATGACCATGTACGTGAACAACAACATTCACAAACATTAAACGAATATGTTTGCGAACTCTAAACAAACAAATATAAATACATTCAAAAATAAATAAACGAACACAAATATGATATTAAAAATATAATCGAACACGAATCGATCATGAATATATGTAAAAAAACAAACAAACAAACAAATATGAACATAATCTTATTTATTCAAGCTCGGTTTATTTACACCTCTAACCATGCTATGTCGTAGGAGTGAGACTTACTCCATAGACTTAGTTGACTTGACCTCGTTTATCATGTTTATTTCATAAGTTTGTGGTGGTTATTAAATTCCACATTAGATAGACAAAATTAGAAAGAGAGTATCTAATTTGATGGTTGAAATTGATGTTTTATTTTTATCGTGTCGTGGGAGTTAGATTTACTCAATAGAGTTCGTTGAATACTTAATTTTTTTATTAACTTTATTTTCTTAATATTTAAGAATTTTGAAAATAAATATCCAATAAATTTTAAATTTTATTTTCTTTGCTTTTAATTGGATGGCCATGTCATGCCATAGGAGTGAGACTTGCATCATAGACTTAGTTGACTTGACCTCCTTATCACGTTTGTTTCATAAATTTGTGGAAGCTGTTAAATTCCACATTAGATAGACAAAAATAGAAAATGATAGCTAATTTGATGATTGAAATTAATGTTTTATTTTCGTGAGTCGGATTTACTCTGTAGACTTTGTTGAGTACTTGACTTCTTTATTAATTCTATTTTTATTACCGAATGTGTTTCTGTAAAATAAAATTTTAATTTATAATTTTAATTTTAGATTATTAAATATATTTAAAATATTAAGTATGGAGATTATTAATTTTAAATGAAATCAATTTTTTCAATGGCTAAAAATTATGAAAATAAATATTCAATACACTTTAAATTTTATGTAATTTTATTTTCTTCTACCTTAATTGGGTGGCTATACAGTATGAGTGGGATTCACTCCATAGACTTAGTTGACTTAGGGGCTGCTTGTTTGGCTCTGAATGGAATCATTCAGCGCTGAATGCTGAACCGTTCAACATTCAAACTGTTTGTTTCTCACCTCTGAATGATTCAGTGCTGACTGATTCAGCAAAACAGTTCTGAATGATTCAGCACAAAAGTACATTATGAATGATTCATCACAGAAGTACATTCTGAATGATTCAGAGCCATTATCAAACAGCATATCACATTCATAGCTAATTCATACAGAGCCTCTGAATTATTCATCATTTAAATCATTCAGCGCTTAATCATACTGAAGTAAACAAACAACCCCTTAATCTTCTTGTCATGTTTATTTCATAAACTTGTGGGCGATATTGAATTCCAAATTAGATAGACAACTAAAATATGATAGCTAATTTGTTGTTTTATTTTGATATTGTAGTGAGATTCGGATTTATTCCTCGGACTTCATTGAGTACTTGTGAAACTCCATTTTTGTTAGAAAAAGAATAGAAAAAAGAAAATTATTTCTTTAATTTAATAATTGGAATTCATACCAAATTTGTTATTTTATATCTTTTTTTTCTTTTAAGATTCAGTCTTTTTCTGTTGAAATTTGGGGCATTGGATGAAATTATCTTGTGCCTGCTTTCGACCATATATTTTTTTGTTTTAGCTTTCTCTCTCTATATATTCGGAGTTGCTAGCAGAGGTTGCTACAATGCAATTGTAATCATGACAAGTCTTACAATTTCATTATTCACATTTCTTCTTCTCATTACATCTATCTGTGTTAGCTTCTGCGATGGCGATTCCAATGTGCTTTGCATTGAAACTGAGAGAGAAGCTCTTTTGAAGTTCAAGAATGATCTGATTGATCCTTCAAACACCCTATCTTCTTGGGTTAAAGGTGTGGATTGCTGTGATTGGTATGGTGTCGTCTGCCGTAACTCAACAGGTCACGTCCACCAACTACACTTGACTGCTCCTGTTTCAGCTCCTTATCATGATGGAACACTTGCTGAATGGGAAGATTACGGTCGTTCAGCTCTAGGAGGCAACATAAATCCTTCTCTGCTGGAGTTGCAGCATCTCAATTGGTTGGACTTGAGCAATAACAATTTTAGCAGCATACAAATCCCCGAGTTTTTGGGTTTGCTGGGGAGTTTAACATATCTTAACCTCTCTAAAGCAGGATTCCTTGGAGCAATTCCTCATAACCTAGGGAATCTTTCAGAGTTGCAGTATCTTGACCTCGGAGGTAATGTTTTCTTGGAAGAAGAGAAAAGTCTTCGATGGGTTTCTGGACTTTCTTCTTTGCAATACCTTGATTTGAGTCATGTGGATCTTCATAAAGCAAGTGATTGGCTACAGGTAACATTATCCAATCTTCCTTCCTTGTTAGAGTTGCACTTGTCTCATTGCAGTTTACCATATGATACATCTCTGATCAGCACTGTCAATTCTACCAAATCACTAGCTGTTCTTGATCTTTCCAGTAACCAATTATCTTCATTTCCTATGTCGATATTTGGTCTTCATGGTCTTGTGTCGTTTGATCTTAGTGGCAATCATTTGGAAGGCCCAATTCCAGATTACTTTGGGAACATGTCGTTTCTTGAAGTTGTTGATCTTAGTTTCAACTCACTCAATTCATCCATACCCAACTCCTTGTATAGTTTAAACCATCTTCAAACCCTTTGTCTTACTGGTAACAAATTCCAAGGTGAAATTTCGAGTGCCATTGGAAACTTGAGCTCTCTCATTCACCTTGATCTTTCATTTAATCAGCTGCAAGGAAAATTACCAGCCTCTTTGGGAGATCTTTGCAAATTGAAGGAGATGGATCTGTCATATAATGAAATTGATCAAGACATATCAGAAATCCTACAGAGTCTGTCTAAATGTTGTTCGGATTGCTTAGAGTCCTTGAGTATGGCAGATAACCAACTTTCTGGCCATATTATAGATCAGCTTGAGAGATTTAAAAATTTGGCTTACCTGAAGCTTGCTCAAAACAACATTTCTGGTCCCATTCCATTATCGATAGGGGAGTTATCATCTTTGAAGGTCTTTGATGTTTCCCAAAATCAATTAAATGGTACTTTTCCTCTAAATTTTGGAAAATTGGAAAATTTAGAAGTTCTATATATTTGGGAAAATCAATTAAATGGTACTCTTCCTCCAAGTTTTGGGCAGTTGAAAAATTTAGAAGATGTAAATATTGGGCAAAATCAATTGGAAGGAGTTGTATCAGAAACTCATTTTTCTAATCTCACGAGGTTGACAACTTTGATGGCATCCGAAAACATGTTGAGATTTGAACCAAACTCAAGCTGGATTCCCCCGTCTCAATGTGAAATTATCGAACTGAGTCAATGGCATCTTGGCCCGAAGTTTCCCCAGTGGTTAAAGTTCCAAAAGAAGTTGTCTCAATTAGATATATCCCATGCAGGAATAGCAGACGTCCTGCCCACTTGGTTTTTGAACCTTTCCTCTCAACTTCAAATTTTAAATCTTTCCTCTAATCAACTTACAGGAAGGATTTCATATTTGAATGTAGGATTCATTGTCGACCTGAGTTCAAACCGATTCTCTGGTCCACTGCCAAGACTTTTCTCAAATCGATTCAATGTTCCATTGCCAAGCTTGTTGTCAAACGGATATTTGAGGTTTTCAAAGAATTTATTTTCAGGATCCCTTTCTGAATTAGTTTGCAATTCATCAATGGCATCAATGGAAGCTCTTCTCGTTGATACAAATCTTATTTCTGGAGAAATTCCAGATTGCTAGAATCGTTGGCAGGTGTTGGGGCTCTTAAATTTGGGAAACAACAATTTGACAGGAAATATCCCATCTTCTTTGGGGCACACAAGTCTTGAAATGCTAAACCTTCGAAACAATAGCATGTTTGGAGAACTACCTTTCACATTGCAAAGTTGTAGGGGTTTAGTTATTCTTGATCTTAGTGAAAATCATTTCAGTGGAAGAATACCTGCATGGATTGGTGACAAGCTTTCTAACCTTACGGTACTAAGTCTCCAATCAAATAACTTTGATGGGCATATTCCTCGTACAATTTGCGCTCTTCAATCTATTCAGAATTTGGACCTTGGACACAACAACATTTCAGGAGCTATTCCAAATTGTTTAAGTAATTTAAGTGCAATGGCCACTAAACAAAAACAAACAAACTACTACTATGGGTGGTCTTCCGATTCTGGCGAAGATTTGAGAATTTACTTGAGTGCATTGTTGGTGCTGAAAGGAAGAGAGGATGAATACAGTACCACTCTGGGGCTTGTTACCAGCATAGACCTTTCAGCTAACAGTCTCATAGGAAAGATTCCCAAAGAACTTGGAAGTCTCATTGGGCTATTGTCATTGAATTTGTCAGGGAATCTCCTAACGGGAAATATACCAGACAACATTGGCAACATGGAGTCAATGGAATCTCTTGATTTGTCGATGAATCGATTGCATGGTGAAATCCCTTCAAGTTTCTCCAATTTGAACTTCTTGAATCACTTCAACGTGTCCCACAACAACCTGACAGGACAAATCCCAACAGCCACTCAGCTTCAAGGCTTTGATAACTCTTCTTACACAGGCAATCATCTCTGCGGGCCTCCTCTCAGTAAAAGCTGCAACGCTAAAGGTGTTCCGACTGATGCTACAAAGAATGGAGACAGCAGTGGAAGAAGTAAAGTGAATGGATTTTATGTGAGCATGGTTGTTGGGTTTGTAATGGGATTTTGGGGAGTGGTGGCTCCCCTGTTTTTCATCAGGTCTTGGAGGCATGCTTACTATGCAAAGCTGGGGCATATTGGTAACAAGCTGTATGTGTTTTGGGCTACTAAGTGTATGCGGTTGATTGCATCCAATGTATGATCGTTGTATTTCCTTTTGCGAGAATAAATCATATTTCAGGGTTATGTAATTTATAGAAAATAGGATGGAAGTGTGTTTTGATATTGTAGGACTGTCCTTAATTGTATTTCAATACCGAAGATATGCCCGGGCTAAAGCATAAACAGTTCAATAAGTGCATTTCTACAAACTTTGCTCACTCCATCAACTGATCAATTTGAGTAATCTGATTAAAATTGGATAGAGTTGTGTTTCGATAATTGTGCTTAGTTTTATTTTTAACAATGAATATGTGGTTGGGCTAAAGAGTGAATATGTGGATATTCTTAAATAGTATTATACTTTTATTTTGTTTTAACTTAATGTTAAACATTTATAATAAATTCAATTTACATGATTAACAAAAATAAATGAATATTTTATAAAATTAAATAATTTTAACTTAATTAAACAAGAAAATATACTACAAAAATGATCTATATAAATTTATGTCAAGATATTTTTCAGTAAAACAAAAACTAAATTCGTGTTTACGATATTAAAACAGTTGGGACTAAAAATCTAGAAGTCCAACAAATACTGACAACAGTGCCCAACAACGATCGGTGAAGGTGTTAAACGATGGCTGATAACGAGGGATTTTGATTAGATTCTAATTCAAACTGAAATTTTATCTAACGGCCAAAGCAAAATTGCAATTTATTTAAGGTAGCAGGAGTTAACAGGCTAAATTTAATCCTAAACTTTAAAATATAAATTCAAGATCGAACTCTAAATAAAATATCAAATTAAAACTATACAATATCAAAATAGCACAAGTTAATAACTCAATGATCAAAATATAACAAATCAACAACGTAGATATAAAGATGGAACTGAAACAAATGTGAATAGTTCACCCAAAAAATAAAAGGATAAAGTACACAAATAGTCCTTCGATTATAGAGTGATGCTTTGTTGAGTTACTCGACAAATAAAAGTTATAAAATGGTCTCCTGAATATAGAGTGTTGTTTTGTTGAGTCCTCCGACTATTAAAAGTTATTCAATGATCATCCGACTATTTAGTATGTTCAAAACTCGTCTTATTTTCGTTAAAAAATTGACAACAATCAAACCTACATGTTAACATTTTGATTGAGATATAATAGTTTTTTAAAATTCTGGGATTAGATTTTATCATATCTCAGTCATCCGGTTACCATCCAATTTAGATTGTCGTCATTTTTTTAACGAAAAAAGACGTGTTTGGATCATACTAAATAGCTGAGTGATCATTTTGTAACTTTTAATAGTCAGAATCTCAACAAAGCATCACCCCATAGTTGGGGGACCATTTGTGCACTTTACCCAAAATAAAAATAAGATTGAACGAAACAGCAATCACCTTCTGCCAACAAATGTTTTTGACAGATAATCTTTCCAAACTGATCTTAGTAGAGAATTACATCCGATAACTCCTAAACACAACATAATAAACATGCTACAACAAACTTAAACCCCATTAACACAACACATGACAAAGAATCAAACTTACCACAGATTTGCAAATTTTCATAAACCAAATAAATGATAAAGAATCAAAATGAAAACTAAAATAAATTGCTACACGATCAAACCATTATCCAAGTCAAGATTGCTACATAAATAGAATGCTAACATGACAATCCTACAACTAAAATTACTACTGAATGAACCAACCTGGACCCCAGAGAGGAAAATATGAACTTAGATTGTATCTTAGAAATCGTGAATGGAAAGGGTATGAAAATATTCTGAGCTTTCTTATACCTGGATTTCGATTATAGTCTCCCAGCAAAACTCGTCCATATGAAAAATTGTTTAGATAAAGCTGGCCCCAGTCGCATGATTCATCGTGCTTCTTCAAATCATGAATGCAAAGGCCTGGTAATCCTTCCCTAGTGCATCAAGGGTACATCCCAGAAGGACAAGCCCAAAGTTTTCTTCTATGAGTCCAATGTATCTTCCTTTCCCATCAAGGCAAGATTGTGTTGAGCTCTTCTCTGAGCACCTGCCGTACGACGGATCATTAGAAAAATATGTAGTGAACAGACATTAGTCGAGTTTGCATGAACTTCTAGGTTGCTTGATTTTAAAAATTTTGCTGTCACTTTAGCTTTTATTCTTCAATTTGGTGCACTTGCAAAACAGCCAGCACGCAATGCATTGGGTGCTAATCTTTTATTCATCTAATTTTCTTTTCTTTTTCTTTTCGGAAAAAGCCGGAACAATACAAAACAGCATAACATGAACTGGACAAGCTTACCCTATTCAACTTAGAAGGGAGCCTCAAGTGATTCATCCCAAACTTCTGCACTTCCATTAGAGGCATCTTCGACATCGTCTTCCATTGAAAGCCTAATATATTCTCTATGTGCAAATCGGTCCCACTCTGTCAATGTAGGGTTCACACACTCCTGTTTGTTCCAACATAAACAAGGCTGTTATCAAAACTTGCATAGAAGTATGATGGTATACAGTTCCTGGTAATGGTAATATTAAAGAATAGTTAAAGTATTGCATTTACCTGACGTATGAGGAATGGATCACGAGTCTCAAAGGCCATGAATTTGTTGAGATTAAAAAGGATATTGAAAACACTTCCCGACAGTTTAGAAACTTTCAGGTCACGTAATGTGATATAGCTCTCATCCTGCAAATAAGAAAAGCTTCAATTGCTGAACATATAAAACAATCTATCTTAGTTTGCAGTGTATATAGAAAGGAGCATTCAATGGGCAATCGGCTCCTAAAAGCCCAAACCAACATATGGTAAAAGCAGTTCAGAATATAATTAGCTCATTAGATCACACTAAATGATCTATTACGAAACAACCATGAAATACCTACTTCCAGTTCAACTCAATTTGCCAGAAACCTGCCCTCTAGACAGTTGTACTATACTAACAGAAATCTGAAGTTTTAAATTACAACCAGATCTTAGCACAAAATCTGTATTCTGATTCATTTTCCATTAGCACAGTCCAATAGGCACCATATTAAACAGACAACGAAATAAAAAGAGAGCAAGAATAAAATGGTGAACCTCCGGTTTAATCATGTCAATTATTTGACATAAGATGTCCTCAAAGAGCACAGGCTCCTGTGCCATGCATTCCATTCGATGCAACTGCTCCTCATAAAAGAATTGCATTTCATTGTGTTAGAATTCCATTGATATCCAAATCTATACACTTGAACCTACATAAGGAAAAACCCACACTGAAAAAACTAGACAACAATAATAATAAATACTTGGAAGTCCAATCTTAACGTGATCATCCATAAGCTCCGGCCCTTCAAAACACATTGCTATTTTTCACCCTCAGAAAGCAGCAGCAGAAAATATTAAGGAAAATTTATAAAGATGCTAATGAATCATTTACATCAGTTATATATTGTTTGATCGAGATTAATTTCCCAATCAGTACCTTCTGACAATATTTTCAGAATTTTTGGCAAGAAATGTGGAAAAAAAAGGCTTTCTCAAATATTTAGGGGGCATTTTCAAACAAGTGAATTTATATGATAAGTAGAGGTATATTTACTTCAACATTAAGAAGATAAGCTTCAAAATATATAATCTGTGAACAAGATCTGGCATAATACCCTTGACTCTACAGAGAAAGAGCAAAAGCATAACAATACTCAAGACTCGGCTCGGACAACTTGTCCTCCTCTGCAAGGATAAAGTAAACAAAATCTTCATACCCCATCTTTCCTTCGATTTTACTTGTAAATTTTCTTGGAACCTAAGATAGTATAGAAGAAAAACATGAGTTAAAGTTCCAAATTTGTGAATGAATTTAAGTCAATCGGAGAAATGGATAAAGTGAGAGAAAAGGAAAGTGGAATGGACAAAGTTCAATTAAATGAAAAGCTTCTTCTGCATATAGAATGTGGTTTGGACCAAGGAACAAAAATGCCATCGGACTCGGACAAACCTGAGAAAATATCCTATCAACAATCCGGAAGGTAAGCGCATGATTACCATGTCTGATAAGGTTCTCCTTATCGATCAAGAAATCATGATCTGTATCAAGCTCCCAAAACTTGCAGTATATCACATAAAAGTGATCATATGAAAAATACCTGTACAAAAAGTATAAAAGAAGAGAGAGAGATTGAAATATGAAAATAATTGGCATCAGACAGGATGTGTATTAAGCATGCATGAAGAAATTATACGAACTTATTCCAAGCCAAGCCCCTGCCTCAAAACTTTATTAATGTCCTCTTCCTCATCAGCCTGTAGCATGGCATCAATCAAGTTTCCGCGTTTCAACTCCCTAAGAGTGAGGTGACCATTCTGAGATCTATTTATGTAGTAATATATTCGGTATATTACAGTTTCAGCTGGCCATGTGAAACAAAAGTTATGTTAACAAGCAATGTCAGATAAAATGAACAACATATTTGGGAACAATAGAAACAATCTAGACTTGCAAACAACTGAAAAACACTACTCATGGTTAATGTGGACTGTTTGAGAAACAGTAAACGGCAAATATAATGCGCAAGGGCTGGGCATGTTAAGTCATGTATTCTTTAAGCAATGCAATTGGTGTAAGATAATTTAGCTTCTTTCAGCACACAATATACAGAATATGTTTCTATGGCAACGCTCTCATATGCTCATTAAATGGACAATAATCAATCCTAATATAATCTGAACAATCTAAGATTACTCTGGATTAAACTAAAAAAAAGATGTTTTATAAGTTGTGTGAATTCGTCATCCTAAGCATATGCATTTTAGAAAATGGAAGCATAGCCATTGAAACTAAAGACTAGAATGAGAACTACACTGCCAAATTGCCAATCATTCTTACTAAAGATTTGTGACCAGCATGCTAAACAAGAACATGACTCTTGTTTTCTATGCACAATATTCTTCCATCAAGAGAAGTGCAAATTTCAACATTAGTTCATCAAAGAACAGGTATGCATTCCTGCTTTATTAATATGCTATTTTCATTTTATTAATAGTTTTTAACATAGCATTTTACATTATCAAACATATTAGAAACAGAACTACTTCATCAATGAACCAGGGTAAA